CAAATTATTTGAGATCAAGCTGTAATTAAATCCTCTTTTTTTTTTTTTTTTGAGGTTAAGCTGTCGTATTTACTTTATTTTTTAAGTTTATCTATTTCTTCCATGAGAGAGAGACTAACAGGGTCCTTATGTCACAATCCACCTCTCAGCCAGCCCAAATCAGGGAGGTCCTGGGACGCGAACCCAGGACCTTTTCCTTGTGGGTCCAGTTGTGTTACCATTGTACTATCACCTCTTAAAAAAGGCACAATTCAGCATTTTGTAGTAGATTAAAAATTGTGCAGAGCTGGCACCATGACCTAGTAGTTAAGGGAGCTGGATTGGTAAATTATTGAATACATTTAGTGGTAGTATTTTATTAAGGAGGTTGTACTGCTTTACTTATTTGAAAACTAGTTAGAAAGTGTATGTATTTTCAACATCAAGCTAGTCTCATTTAAAATAGTGCAGTGTCTGTGACTGATCAGTGTAACTAAGTTCAGAAGGCATTTTAATGGCAACTCTTAAATCTGAACAGGAATAAGGGTTTTGGAAAATGAGGCTTTGTGAAGGTTTGTCATTTTAAGGCCAAACTCTTAATAAATAGATTGTGAAAGTTTGGACTCTTAGACTTTAAACAAGCAACCTTGAAAGTACTGATTGGCCCAGAATAGTTTTATGGAAAAACTAATCTGTAACAAAAACTTGACATTTAATTTTTTTAAGAATTATTTAACTTATTTATTTTAATTTGATCAGAGAGGGACAAGAGCGAGAGAGACAGAGAGAGAGAGGGAAAATGAGAGAGCAAACTGCCAGGTTCAGGACTTGAACCGTGGTTGGCCATGTGGGAGTCCAGCACCTTTAACTACCACTCCACCAGCTGGCCCTGGCATTTAATTTTTGAGCAAAGCATATAAGTTTAAAGTGGGGGAGGAGAGGGCTCTGATACTTACAACATCACACATTTTTCTCTCCCTTTTGACACACAGGATGGACAAGCGTCTTTCAAAATTAAATATTCTGTTCTTACAAATGGAATTTGATTTATACCTATTAAATGATTATTAATCATATGCACCTTTTCTTTCTATACTTTGAGTAATTTGATCTGTGAATAGTTGTAACCTTCCACTAGTATTGATTTTGTTTGCTAGGTTTTTGTTTTCTGTTCCTGCATATTTCCATTTTATTTTATTTGGCATATAAAAATTCATAGTGACTTCAAATTCAGAATAGAGAACACATATGTTTACTTTTCCTTCCTTCCAAAATCATATTAAGGAAGAAATATAAAAACAAACCCAGATAAATGAGAAAATCTAAGAGATAAATTGTATTCATTATCAATATGATGACTTTTTGGTTGAATAAAGCAATTGGGATTCAGTTAATGGCAAAACCCAATGAAAATGGCAGCAGGGAGCCATTACACATTTTTGAGTAGAGGAATGATGTCACCCAGCTGATGTTTTAGAATAATGAGTCGTTTTTTTTTTTTTTTTTAATTTGGAATTTTAATAAGCATATAGTACTTAAATTATCAGGAAACAATAAAGGTAAAGGAAAGATGTGGCTAATAACATTGTTTAGCTTGTATTGGAAAATAAGAGAGTAGGACCAGTCAGGTGGTGTGGTGGCTAAGATGGCTGGGTCCTATATGGCCAATTGAGCTGTTGGAGTCCTCAACACAGTGCCTTGAATCTACGCCCCAAATCCCAAAACGAAGGAGAGATGAGAAGGGATTGTGGCATGGTCAACCCCCGGGAGGTTGCCTTTTCAGTCAGTCTCTCTCTGATGAGTACATATGTCCGATAGCAATTTAAAAAAAGAAGGAAAAAAAAAAAGAAAAAAAGAAAGTAGAGAAGAGAAACCAATGAGGAAGTTTATTCAGTATGAACAATATGAGTAAATCACAATCCCTGATGTCTGCTCTTTTGAACCGATAGTATTAAGTAGTATAGTATTTTGTTAGTTAAGGTTCTTTCTGTTGTTAAGTTTTTGGTTTAAGTAGAAAAGAGGGAATTAAGGTCATTGGGATGTTTTGTGAAAGTCCAAGGCAGAAATGTAACTAGACCTAAGAAATGTCTAGAACCAGGAGCTGAATAAAAAAGTTGTAAACCTCTTCTACTGTGTTTCTCAGAGTATTCATTGAATTCTTATTTTTTATTTGTAAACTATTTCATTAGTCTAAGCTAAACTGGGAAAATGACGTTCCTCAGCTCCTATATTCCAGCCACCAGTAGAAAAATGTAGATAGAGAAAGAGAGAGAGTCTTGCTCATGGTTTTGAGATTTCCAAGGATAGGACTGATAGGACTTTGATTTTGTTGTGCTCAAAGATGAACTTTTTAACATTTTATAGCTAGCTGCAGTCAACTGGCCAGGAAAGTATAAATACACTGGGAATTTACTTCTCTTTAGTTAGTTAAGCAAGGTCATTGTAAGCTAGGCAGAAATCCCAAGGGTGTTTGCTATAGTTACTTTGAGTTTTTATCATTGTTTAATTTATTGGTTGAAAGAAGTAGATTATATTAAGTTTAGAGAAGCAATATGAAAATTGTGCAGAAATTTCCCCTAATATGCTACAGAATGTTTTTAAGTTTAACCTTAACAAATCTGGTTATCCATGTTTAGAGTGTGCGGTATATAGATTGAGATAAGACAAGAGTGTTAGGGTCTTGGAAAATGTTCGTTTTTTTTTTTTTTTTTAAAAGTTTGTAATGTGTGCTCGCCAGAAAGAGACAGAAAGCAAGAATCACTCCCGGGGCGCGGGGATGGTGGTGGTGGCCACGCCATAATCCCTTCTCCTGCATTCTCTCAGATCTTGGGCACGCATGCACATGCACCCGACGTGACTTTAAGCCGCCAGGTCCAGTACTCGAACCGCGGTCGACTACATGGGATTCCAGCGACATAGCCATTATGCTAACTACTGGTCCCAATGTTCTGTATCTTGATCTGGGTAGTGATTACAGAGGTTTATGTATGTGAAACTGTCAAGATATGTATACTTGATGTATGTGAGTAATAGTTAAGTTTAAAAAGAAATCTGAGCAAAGTTGACTTCTTTGATTTATCTGCCTGGCCTTGTCAAGTGGATGCCAGTATATCATTGTATTGATAAAACAGTTAAGTTCCCTGTTATTTTTGATGTTCATCTTTCACATAAATTGGGTTTATCAGAAATGAAAACACCACGATGATGATATCACTGCATGTTGTAAAAAATTAATTCTTGGTTTACTTTTTCCCATGGTTTAGGAGCTGTGACTGATGAGAATTGAAGGCCATGGATGAAGATGGACTTGAATTACAACCACAAGAGCCAAACTCTTTTTTTGATGCAACAGGTATAACTTCATGGGTTGTTCTACTTCCTCTCTATCACATTTGGAGGTGGTTATCACAAGGATTAATTGGTAGATTCTTACATAGATCAGTCACACCTACGTATCTTGTTTTCCTGTCAAATCTACAAATATTAAACACATTCTCTTCAAAAATACGTTCCCCTTCAGCCATCTCTCATATTCTTCTCCATTATAGCAGCAATAGCAAAACTTTAATGTTCTCTTCAGTTATTCTCATATTGCCCAGTTGCCCCACTAAATCCTGTTGGTTTTTCCTTTGAAAAGATTCCTTCTTTATACCTCCTTCTCTTCATTCTTTTTTTTTTGAGTGGTTTTTGCTATAGGGCACGTGCACTCTCCAGACAGACAGAGAGAGATAGAAAGTGAGAAATCACCACCTAGGGGGTCTGGCCATGCCACAGTTCCTTCTCCTCCATTCTCTTCTCAGGATCTTGGGCACGCACGCACACGTGCCTGGCGTGAGTTTTAAGCCACCGGGTCCAGGACACAAACTGTGGTCGACTACATGGGACTCCAGCGGCATAGCCATTACGCTAACTGCTGGTCCCTCTTCATTCTACTTTCTACCACATATATAGGCTCTGTCTCCTCATTCTTATTCTGTAATATGTTTGCATCATTTTCCTTACCCTTAGTCTCTTTATGTTGCCCATTGACCAGTATATTCATTGTAAAGTAACACATAAATCATGTCATTTCTCTGTTCTGTATTACCTGGCAGATAAAATATAAACCATATAAACCCAAGGTCTTTCACTTTCTGGTCCTGTCCTACTTTTATAACCTTCTTAACAAGTTCACAAGGTGCCTTCTACTTCAGGAAGATGGAGTACAAAGCGTATAAGGAAAATTGTATCCATGAAGTTTTAAAAATAATATTTACATCTTTGGATTACCCATGGTTTTAATTATATAACATTTTAAAGTGATTACACCTAGTTTTATAATATAAATGGTCTTATATTATACTAGTTAGCTACCCTTATAAATAAAATTTTCATGAATTTTCTGTTGGACTTCAGATTATCATATTGCAGTCTGTTAAAGAAATAGCAATTAATTTTATCAACAATTAAATACTAGTGATTTATAATGTCTAATTTCTATTTATTCTCTAAATCCAGTGTATGTGTATATGTGCACCTATGAGGTTTTTTTTTTTTTAAACAACTGGGAATAGTCTTTTAATTCAAATTTGGTAATTTCAATTTAATAGTGATAAATAGAAAGTTTCTAATTCTTCATTGGAACATTGAGTGTAATTAATGTGTCTGAAAGAGTCTTAAGCTTGTTGGAGAAAAATACAACAGTATATTTCACTTAATCTTGTCATAAGTAAACTTGGGGCATGGGCAGAATTTTAGATTGAAGGACTGTTGCTTTTTGGTCCTGATTGTTAACACTTATGGTATTTGTTTATCTTTGAGCAAGTCACTTAATCTGCCAGGGCCTCCGTTTTCATATGTCATAATAATAATGAAACCTCTCATTACAGTTTTTCAGAACACTTCCCATACATTCCCATTTGATCATCACCACAGTCCTGTGAGGTATGCATGGCAGATACTACTGTCCTCATTTTACTTATGAGGAAACTGAAACTCTGAGGTTAAATGACTTGCCCAAGGTCACAAAACTAATAAGTGTCCAACTCTGCTTTCTGATTTTATAAGCAGTGCTCTTGCCACTAAATGCGTTCATTTGCATGTCTGCAAAATGGGATCATAGTGATCTTTTGTTTGATGATAGTATCATGAATTTGAAAACAAATGAACATCTTACCGTAGAAGTTCTATAGAAATAAAAGTGAGCATACTCTTTTTATTATTTCTATAAATAAAACAATGAACTGACTTTAAAAACTTTCTAAAATTTTAAATGTTTTTAGCAATTTTAAGTATTTTTGGCCTTTGATTATTTTTGTTTCTTGACAGAGCCACGTGTTTCTCTGAGGGCCTGACAGAGACACATAGTCATTTAGTTAGGCATCTGCGTGGACTCATCCTGATCTGAGTCAAAAGCCAGAACATGAATTTACTGAATAGCTTTTTTGGTAAACTTTTATAGAAATTTCTTTGCTTTTCTCTCGCCAAGGTACCCAGATTTATTTTAATTTTTTGGTAAGGATATTGACTTCTATTCCCATTTGTGGCATTCATCCAGAATGAAATTTATTGAGCACTGTACATTGTGAAGCTTGTGATCTTGGTTAAATCATTTAATTTCACTGGGGTTCAATTGATTTAGTCCTTTACCTTCATTCCTTAACTGCAAAATGGACTAGAGTAGGGTTTCCTATATTCAGAGGAACTCCTTTGGGGGTTGGGACCTGGGAGGATGGGAGGAGGCTAGATGGACGTGGTGTACCCTGGTGAATTGGATCAGGCCTTGCACCAGCTACTCTTAGCTTCCACCACCCCAGCACAGCTGCACTATTGTTCATCCTACCTGTCCACAGAATCTCAACCAGTTTTCTTTCCTCAACTATGGCCTTCTCTCCCTGATCCTTTTCATTTATGCCCCAATCTTCTTATGTCCTAGATTTGAAGGATGATTTCTAAATTTCCATAGTCATAGATGGAGGATATTGGTGATATGTTGCACCAGAACAAAGGGGAAATAATATGAAGGGAGAAAGGGAAAAAAATGAAAGGGAAATTAAAGAAATACATGGGTGAGATAGCAAGAAGAGAAAAATAGAAGGAGCTGGAGTTAAGAAGGAAAATAAATTAAAAAACATAATAATGAGGGAAAATGGTATATTTGCCATCTGGAGTTGCATTGTTTAATTTTTAGAATCATCCCTTGAATACCTGTGTATATGAGTTTAATTTTAATGCACCTAGAATTTTACTTTTATGAATACGTTTCTTCTATGACTGCCTCAATTGCTTTGTTCTTCTCGTATTTCTTATAGTAATTGATTTGGGATGAGTATGAAAGTTCTTACATTAAAAATGTCTTTTTAGGGTCATCCAGTGGTGTGGTGGTTAAGGTGGCTGGATCCCACATGGCTGAAGCACTTGCGTGGTTCAGATCTTGGAACTGGGGGCCTGATAAACATGACAGGCCCATTTGTGTCCATGTTCTCCATAAAACAGAAACAAGTCTTAGTTTAATTAAAAAATACATCCTTTATTTTTTTATGCTGTCTTTTTTTTTTTTTTTTTGAGAGGTTTTTGCTATAGGGTGCATGCGCTCGCCAGACAGAGACAGACAGAAAGCGAGAAATCACCCCCCAGGGGGTATGGCCACACTGCAATCCCTTCTCTGTTCTCCTCTTGGGATCTTGGGCACTCACGCACACGTGCCCGGCGTGAGTTTAAGCCACCGGGTTTGGGACTCGAACCGCGGTCAACTACGTGGGAGTCCAGCGACATAGCCATTACACTAACTGCTGGTCCCTCTTTATGCTGTCTTAATGTTTGAGAAAATTCAGGAGCTTAGTCTGTGTTCCTGATAAAAATTAAATAACACTTTCATTAATTGAAGTAATTATGCATGCCTATCTGAAATTTGTCATTTTTTATTTTTCTTTAAGGAGCTGATGCTACACATATGGATGGTGATCAAATTGTTGTGGAAGTACAAGAAACTGTTTTTGTCTCTAATGTTGTGGATTCAGACATAACTGTGCATAACTTTGTTCCTGATGACCCAGATTCAGTTGTAATCCAAGATGTTATTGAGGACGTTGTTATAGAAGATGTTCAGTGCCCCGATATCATGGAGGAAGCTGATGTGTCCGAAACCGTCATCATTCCTGAGCAAGTGCTGGACTCAGATGTAACTGAAGAAGTTTCTTTAGCACATTGCACAGTCCCAGATGATGTTTTAGCTTCTGACATTACATCAGCCTCAATGTCTATGCCAGAGCATGTCTTGACAAGTGAGTCTATACATGTGTCTGATGTTGGACATGTTGAACATGTGGTTCATGATAGTGTAGTAGAAGCAGAAATCGTCACGGATCCTCTGAGCACTGATGTAGTTTCAGAAGAAGTATTGGTAGAAGACTGTGCCTCTGAAGCAGTCATAGATGCCAATGGGATCCCTGTGGACCAGCAAGATGATGACAAAGGCAACTGTGAGGACTACCTTATGATCTCCTGTAAGTGTCGGGGTACGGTGATTGTCAAGGTGTTTTTGAAGGCTGCCTTTCAAAACTAACTTAAATCAGAGTAAAATTTTCTTGACTTAATTGTCTATAAAATTCAAGTCAAGCTCACAGACCTGTGAGTTGGAGCCTATAAGATAACTCAAAATTAAGAAAAATGAAATGATGCAGAGTAAAGAGTTGTTTCTATATAAGTACACAACAGGAAGATGAAAATTATTCAGTTTAGAAAGACAAAGGCTGAAAGGAATAGAACTGAACTTTGGGAAATCATGAGTGATGTGATTAGGCTATAACCAGCCTTTATTAGAATTAGGAACATGTTTGAAAACCAAAAGGAGTTCGACTTGGAAAAAAATATATAAATGTACTACTTACATTCTTGTATATGGAAGCATAGTACTGCTTATGTACTACTTATGTACTTTCTCTACTTACATAATATGTAAATACTATTTATATAACAGACAGTATGGAAAAGAGTTTTGGGATAGTACTAAAACATGGTTCCAAAACAAAATTTCAAACATGATGGATTTATATTAGGTTATTGAAGAAAAGTAAGATGTTTTGGAACATACCTTAGTGTCCGGGAGGACAGCTGTGTCTTCTTAACGTTTTTCTTGGTTTCAGAGAAAAAAAATTCAAGGCTGGCTAGTTTTAACCCAGTAAGGAAATTCTCAAAACTTCGGGATCTGGGAACCAGCAGTTAGCGTAATGGCTATGTTGCTGGACTCCCATGTAGTCCACCGTGGTTCGCGTCCCGGACCCGGTGGCTTGGAACTCACGCCGGGCACGTGTGCGTGCGTGCCCAAGATCCTGAGAGGAGAATGGAGGAGAAGGGATTGCGGCGTGACCATCCTCACTGGGGGGTGATTTCTTGCTTTCTGTCTCTATGTCTCTCTTTGTCTGTCTGGCGAGCGCACGCGCCCTATAGTGAAAACCTCTCTCCCTCTCCAAAAAAAAAAAAAACTTCGGGATCTAAACTTCAAATAAATAAAGCCTCACAAGCTCTCAAAATTTATAGTGCTGGGTCCAGCAGTTAGTGTAATGGCTATGTTGCTGGACTCCCACGTAGTCAACTGTGGTTCTCGTCCTGGACCTGGTGGCTTAAAACTCACGCCAGGTGCATGTGCGTGCGTGCCCAAGATCCTGAGAGGAGAATGGAGGAGAAGGGATTGCGGCGTGGCCATTCCCCCTGGGGGGTGATTTCTCCCTTTCTGTCTCTCTCTCTCTGTCTGTCTGTCTGGCGAGTGCACGCGCCCTATAGCGAAAACCTCTCAAAACAAAAATTTATAGTGTTTGCTTTCTCTGAATATCTGTTTTCATACAAGAATTTAGCATAACACATTGGAGTTCACCAGCATCTTAGGAAGTACCTTTTAAAAGTTCTTTATTTTTTGAGAAAAATCAAATAATGTTTTGTGTACAGAGAAAGAAAATGCTTTCATTCAGCACATATTTTGTGTCAGAGAGTGCTGTAGGTAGTCCAGATACAGACTAAGACCATTGTTTCTAGAGAGCTTACTGTCTGCTGTAGGCAAGAAAGGTCTCAGTGTGATGCAGAGTTGTGACTAAATTGCTGTGGAGACAGGATAGAGCCACTGACCTTTTAACTGAAAGATAAGTTCTGTTTTTAAATTAAAATTTTTTTTTATTGCCAGAAGATATATGTGCTTACCAGAGAGGAAGGTGGGAGAGAGAAAGCACTCCTTAACGAGGTGTGGTCACACTGCAGTTTTTTTTCTTCCATTTCTGTCAGTATTTTGGGCATGCACACACATGCTGGAGCTGGGACTCAAACAGTGGCTGGCCATGTGAGATCTGGCTTTCTGATCTGGCTTTCTGTGCATAGTGTTTAACTGTTGTGGTATGGGACCAGCCTGAGTTCTGGCCTAGAAGAAGAAGAACGGGAGTAGGAGGAAGATATTCTAGGCAAATAGTATAATATGTAAAAAGGATTCTGATCTTTGCTAAGAATGATGGGCACTTCAGGATGCATGTCTGTGCTCTTCTGGTTTAATTCCTTAGAACAAATTTCTAGACAGAATTGCTGGACCAAAGGTTATACATATTTACTGTTTTGATTATATCGTCTTAGTATTTTTTCTTCTCTCTTTTTTTTAAAATTATATATTTAATTTTACTTATTATTATTTTTAATTTGCTATAAGGTACATGTACTCACCAGAGAAAGAGAGAGAATGTGAGAAAGCAAGCTGCCAGGTCCAGGACTAAAACGGCAATTGGCCATGTGGGAGTCCAGCTCCTTAACCACCTCGCCACCTGCTAGCCCCTCTTTTTTTCTTTTCTTTTCTTTTTTTTTTTAGAGATTTTTGGTATAGGGCGTGTGTGCTTGCTGGAGAGACAGAAAAACAGAAAGTGAGAAATCACCCCCTCAGGGGGGAGGGCCATGCCACAATCCCTTCTCCTCCATTCTCCTCTCGGGATCTTGGGCACGCATGCACACGTGCCCTGCGTGAGTTTT